CCCGGGAATTCTGTGTGTATCAAAAACTGAAATGGGAGTCGTGTCTGTTTGGCTCAGGTGGGAAGGCAACTTCTCAATTGGTGAGGCTGAGCTGGATTGAGCTGGTTCAAGGCCTTTTAAAGTAGGCCACAGGGTTAAAAGTGCCTGTTGAAACTGTACTCAGAAGCGTGGGAACCCCTGCTCTACGCTGCAGGCACGAGAGAGTTTTAATGGCCCTGTCCACAGTGTTTGTTTATGTACTTGGGCTGCTGGACAGAGATCAGGTACCTTAGGAAACGGTCGTAAAAGTCAGGCATTCACAAGAGTGGAGTCAACTCTAACCTGAAGCCAGAAATCCCCTCATGACACGGAGTCACATAGTGTGCCCCTGCCTGAGTGGCCACTACTTGATGGGTTTGTTCACACTCACATGCACACCCCGTCTGTTAAAGACTTGCTGACCCATCCACTGCCCTCCAATCCATTCCAGCTCACAGCGGCTGTCAGACAAAGCAGAAGGGGCCCCTTTGGCTGTCAGTATTTACTGGAGTCGAGAGCCTTATCTTTCTGCCTGAGAACGACTGGTGGGTTTGAACTGCTGGCCTTGTGCTTAGCGGCCCAATGTGTAAACCATTCTGCCACCAGAGGCAAGTGAAGAAGCTGGGCACATAAGTAGAGCGACATGAGGGTACAGTAATCCACAATGAAATGGTGAAGAGGACATCCCTGGCTGTGGCCCAGGTGAGACTAAGGTGCAGTGAAGTTGTTGAAACTCCTTATTACCAGACTCAGAAAAAGCCCTGGCCATCGAGTCGATTCCGACTCGCAGTGCATCGCCTTTTCTGCTGCTTCGAAGAAGGCTGGTGTCCTTGCTGGAGGTGAGAGGGGAAAGAGTCCTGAGTGGGCTTGTAAAACCCACTGTGTCTCAGACTGCTGGGGTCTCAGTCCCTCCTTGTCTTTTTCATGTGAAGGTTTGTGTTCCTGGAGATGGATTTCAAAGTGCAGGAAGAGGGGAACAAACTGCCAAGCTTGATCATTTCATGGACCAGTGCTTTAATGTGGAACAAATGGTATTATGTCTATTGGACGCTGCAGTAATCAGCATTTGTCGGTGTTTTGGAGCACCGGATGTAATTCCGTCTAGGCACGTGCCCATGGGTACCATTTTCGTAGGGCTCAGGCCTTTTTCCTGTGTGCCAGATTAGCTGAAGGACATAAGTCATGGAAGGAAGCAAATGTGTAGCTTTTGTGTGTGATCCACCATCACTGGCCGTGTGCCTGTGGCAGGGGAGATGCAGTGTGCCTTTGCGGCTGCAGCAGCGTTTCTCCCGAGCTGGCATTTACCCCCGACTTTCTGAAGCCCCCGCTGACAAAGTCGGTGGAGCGGCTCATGGAGGCCCATGTCCCTGTCCACACTGGTCCGCATTCTGCCATCTGTGTTCAGCTGTTCTTTCCCTGGCTGCCCACTCCTGTTGGGGCAGGACTTCTCATCGTTTGTCACTAAGATTCCCAGGCACGACCTGACCACATCTCCCAGGTACAATTGTGACCTACACGCCTGTCCAGATAAGTAATGTGGAGCTTGGTTCAAATCTTCAGTCTACAACCAGCCAGGAGCCTCGGGGTTGTAGAGTAGGGTTTCTTTTATGTGTACACAGCTGACGCCGGACCTTTTGGATCGAAGCTCATCCTTCTTACCAGAACCCACTCTTACCCTCCCCTTTGAAGTGTTCCTCTGAGACTTTCCTGCCTGGTCTGGGACAGGCGCACCTCACCCTCACCCTCACTCTCTCACACTCCACTGGGTTCTGGGCAGAGAGGGCTTTGTCTGTAGCAAGCCTGCTTCGCACCTGCTGGCCAGCACTGTCCCACAGCACGTGCTTGCCATGCCTCTCAGGCACGTGTTGGTCATTCTCACCGTTCCAGTGTTTTCATGGTGCCGCCTCACGTTCCTAGACGGCAGGAGAGGCTCAGTGTCACTGCGCATGCACTGGGAGACCCGAGACTAATTGCGACTCGCTTTAGTGAGTGTGAGAGCCCCTTTGTTGGGGGCCTCTGGGAGTGAAGCCACGGGGTCTCTGAGGTCCGTCTGCCTGGTGTCTGCTCTCCGTACAGCCACTCCCAACCCCCTCTGGAAGCTTCTCCCTAGCCGCTGCATTGCATCAGTAGCAGCAGTGGGTCATACACAGAACCAGCACTGTCCACCAGACTAGTACTTGCTGCCCTGTTTAGTGTTAGGGAACGCTGAGACTATGGCATGTGTGTGGGATTGAACATGAAAGACCCCTGCCCCCTCTGCTTCCATTTCCATAGTTGGGTTGTTGTAGTTAGGGGCCAGCGAGTCAGTCCCTACTCAGGGTGACCCTGTGCACAAGGAAACAAAACTCTGGCCGCTCCTGCGTCACCTGCACGAGTGTTATGTTTGAGCCGTTTCCAGGGGCTAATTCCTCCAGAATGGACAGCCTACTCCTTCTTCATCGTCTGTTCTTATCTGAGAGCCCTGCTGGCACCTGTGCACTTTGGGTGAACCTGCTGATATTTGAAATAGCAGTTACCAAAATAACCAGTCTAGGAATCAAACGCTCACTTCCCACACCTTTTAGCTCTGTCTCTGAAACACACACACACACACACACACACACACACACACACACAAGACCCATGGTACTCTAGGTCTGGACCCATCACCATGAAGCCCACTTCTGACGCCAGTTGTGTGGTCTTAATTAGTGTTCTCGATTCTACTTCTCTACTTGATCTTTCTGGGTTCTAATATCCATTGTGATGGCTACACGTTAAGACACTGCGTGATTAAAGGGTTTTAAGGAAGTTAGGTCGAGATGTCATTGAGAAATGTGCATGTTAAGTTGTTTATCAGGATGTGTTACAAAGTCCTGTCAACTCTGCCATTGGCCAAAACCAGAAGACATTCCACGTGAGCTCTGTGGGTCAGCAAACACAGCTCGCTGAATTTGTGCTCAGTGCTCCATTCCAGTAAGGCACTCAACTCCACCCAACTCCATAACCAGCCTCCTACGCAAAACCACTTGGCTTTACTTGCTCCGTGGATGGGGAGGTCCACCATGCTGTCCCATGCTCTGGCTCCTGGTTCTGCTGCTGCTCTTCTGATGGTCTAGCAGTCGTCTGGATCCAGGACGTTTGCTGCACAGGGATCTCGGGTCCAGAAGACCAGCTCCACTACTAGCCTTTGCTGGTAATGAGACCCTCCTCCTCCTCAAAGGGCTCATTTTATACACAGCAGGATGGCACTCCAGGGAAACCTGTTTGCAGTTATTCACAGGTGAATCCTATCAGTATCTTTCCCTACCGTCTTAGCTGACCCATGCAGGGAAAGATCGTTTGGTGGGAGTTGAGACTCGGGCTGGAGGAGCCACATTACACCATTCATTGCCCCTGTACCAGTGGCACAGCATCCAGCAGCACACAAGCCACTACAGTTCCACAAACTGACAGACAAGTTCAGCACTGTTTCTAATAGAGACCAGTCTTTCTAAACCTCTTCTGTGCCCGCACAGATGTATATTTATGTATTTTTCCTCTCACAGCGGAGCGTGTATCTCAGTAATGCTGCTCTGTTGGATAGAATGTGTGGCTGCTTTACTGCAGTGACCGGACGCAAACCTTTCCCTCGCTCTCTGCTCTGGGTGGTTCTTTGGCTGCGGTGGAGTCATGGCTTCTGTGTGCGCATGAGCTCACCAGGACTGCCATGAGGACCCTGTTTTTCGCATCATTAGCTCTGAGTCCCACATTGGTTTTGCCTCAGCGCTTGAGGCCTGGTCAGCTGTGCTCACTCCATAGCCACCAGCCACACGTGCTGTCCAGCCCTTGAAATGGGCCGGTCAGATCGAGCACTGCTCCCAGTGTCAAGTATGCGCCAGGTTTCAGAGGCTTGTTATGTTGTTGGGAGCCTTCAAGTCCAGCGACGTAGCTCCCAGTAGCACCCAAGCTGCACAGTCTGACACATTGGCAGACAGGTGATGGTTCTTAGACTAATACCCCAAAGAGTAGACTATCACTTGCAGTTTGCTTGTATTGTCTCCATGCTGCAATGTGAATTGCTGACTAAATGGGGTGAAATGAAATATGTTACTAAGATGAATGTTCCCTGTTTTGCTTTTGCTTTTAATTGGGGCTAATGGAAAAATTCAAATTCCTTTTGCACCTCCAATTCTACAGGCCCTCAGTCCTTGGGGTACCAATGAGACCAGTCCCTAACTTTCAAGAATTTGTAGCTACATTTCTTTCCTTTAGGACAGGGGTCCTCAAACTTTTTAAACGGGGCCAGTTCACTGTCCCTCAGACCCATTGGAGGGCTGGACTATAGTTTTAAAAAAAAACAACACAAAAAACTATGAACAAATTCATTTGCACACTGCACATATCTTATTTTGAAGTAAAAAACAAAATGGGGCAAAAACACCCGGCAGGCCAGATAAATGTCCTCAGTGGGCTGCATGTGGCCCGCGGGCCATAGTTTGAGGACGCCTGCTTTAGTGTATACAATTGAAAAGCTGCCCATGAGGTAGGTCACGGTGCTGGTGCGGGTGATCAGGAGTGTGTGGCCTGGTCTTGGTGACATCCTTGCCAGGTGAGGACACGTGGCCATGGGGTGAAAAGGCATGTAGGGATTTTCTGAAAGTAGGATGTTTGTAACCCGGGGACTGCCTGTATTTCAGTTGGCCGATACTCATCTAGATGGAAGACCATAAGGGGGAAGATGCCTTTATTTTAAAATTTTATTTATTTAATGCCTTTATTTTTAAATAAATAAATTGTGCGTGGTTTCTGATTAGTTAGCAATTTCATCTTGGCAGTGATGATCTCAGGGCACACATGCAATCACAGAATGTTCTGAGCAGTTCTTCTTTATCACTCGTGTTTCTGACTAGATAAAAATTCCAGCTGGGTCTGGTATAATGACATTTTAAACTGAAAATAAGCTGTTTCCTCACAGAAATGTGTCACTGACTTCTGAGAAAGGCGGTCTGTTGAAAGGCTGCCAATTTCTTTTTCCTTTAGTCTTAGCAGAGTTTGTGGTGCGCACACTCCTGCAGTCTCCTCCAGCACGGATGTATAACACGTGTAAGCGGCACGGGGCTTGTGTACAGACGGGATCTTTCTGTACCTACATTTGATGGAGAAAGTCCAGTTAGCACAAAGGCTAATTCCATTGTTTTTCTGTGTGGTTCCAAAGACAGCGCTCTGATTTTCCACGTGTATCTAATTTTAAACAATGTCAATTAAACTTCCGTACAAAAAGTTATTACATGTGTTTTGGTGAAAAGTTTAACAGATAATTAAATAACGTGATACCGTATCATCACCTTCTAGTGTTTAAAGGTTGTAGGCATTGAGTATTTGTGAACGAAGATTCCATCAGGATGCATAATCTGATTTTCATTTGTACATTTTTCAGAGTTTTATTAATCAAGATAAACAAAAAGAAACAGAAGATGAAGATAAAACAAAATCATTTATGCAGAAATATGAACAAAAAATCAGACATTTTGGTAAGTCATCTCCTTGAATTCCTTTTGTAATCCTTGGTGGTATGTGGGGATGTATTTTTAAAAATGGACTTAGGAAATGGGAACCGAAAGGCAGTTTCGTGACAAATTCCAGGTGCTGAGCTACTTGCGGCATAGTCGTGCAGCTTGTTGAAGACTGTCTGTTTCCCCACCGGATCTGACCTGTTTCTATAGAGGCGCACACCCACATCAGCAGTTACCAAGATGCGGGCACAGGCACCCCTTGCACACACTCCTCCCCTAGCACGCTGCTGTCACTGCTCAAAGGTGGATTCAGAACTCCGTGTTCACGAAGCTTTTCTAAACAGTAACAGGCAGACGCTTTGTTGTAGCGTTTTGTAGTGTGACTGAAGCCGTCACAGCGTGCGGAGCGTCCCCCTCCCGCTGTCACTGCTGCGTGACTGACGTGACGCGGCCTCCGCACGGCCTGCGCGGCTGCTTTCTTCCCTTCCAGCCAGTCTTTGCTCCTCCTCTGCTTCTCGGTCCGATGCCCTCTGCCTCCGAGATCGCATTTTGTCCTGGCAGTTTGGGTTTGAGGTCCAGGCCGCTCCTAGAACTGTGACTTAGTACACCACCACCCAAGCGTGGCTGCCGCTGTCCCTGCTCAGGCCCCGTGCACAGCAGAGGAAAACGCTGCCGGGGCCTGCGTCATCCTGACCCTTGTTCCGATGCGTGAGCCCGTGGGGACGGCCGTCTTGGTGAGCGCCCTCTCTCTCACCGCCCCTCCACTTGACCAAGCATGATGTCCTCTTCGAGGGACTGCCCTCTCCTGACCACATGACCAAAGTGTGTGATACCAAAGTCCATTGGTAGAAATGTGGTCAAAGAACCGAAGAAGTAATTTCTCTGTTGGAGATAAGGCCCAGGGCTTCCCAGAGGTGGTCTTTTCTGAGCTAGATTCTCAGCTGCGCTGGCAACCTTGGCTACAAAACCACGGAACCAGGGGTGTTTTCCTGGTGCGTCCTGAGCAGTATACCTGCCGTATATAACCATGCTGATGAGCCGTGGTGGTGGGGATGAAGACACTAAGCCGATTTTTCTGGTCCCAAGCAATAGATTAATATAGTAAGCATGTTTTTTCTTTGCAGATGTGAGTAAGCTCTCAAATATGTGAATTTTAAAACTTCTTTCCTACTGATTTTTTTTGGCCCCAAGTAATTAAAATTTCAGTGTGATCAACACATTGGATGTCACTGTACATTTTTTCCTCTCTTCATAAAATAGTTATGTGCAATTTTTTCATTCAGAAAAAGACCCTTTGTGTTCAGTTTTATGCAAGAATAGTAGCCCCCAAACATAAGCTGTTTCTTTTCTTTTCACACATATTAATCCTTGTGGTATTACCTCTCATAGGAAAGAAAACAATGGTAACTGTCGATCCCTTGGATAGATCGTCACATGTTGAAACCAGTAGAGGAGTCCTACGGGTAGAAAGCAAACATTTTGCCAGTGAGTCACTGATGGTGAGGTGCCCCTCTCACCACCAGCCTTGCTTCCTGGGCCCTGGTGTTCTGTTTCAGACAAGAGCCCCTGTGTTGGTCCAGAGCATGTATTGCCTTTGGTGTCACCCAGCTGGCCGCCTTCTGGTCAGCTCTTTGGGGCCATGGGCAGCCTAGAGGCTTTGCCTAGAGCACCTGGATCTGAAGCAGTGTTGTGCAGGAAAACGTCCCAGCCTCACACAGGCATTGTGCCATCCTCCTGTAACCCCTGCTGCTGGGGGGGGGTTGGGGGGGTACGGTCAGGAAAACCCAGGTGCCCTCCCTGTGCTTAGTGTCTTGTTCACGTGGCTGTAAATGTGGTGCGATGGGTTATGCGGCTCATGAGGCGACAGTGGTGTGAGGATTTCCAGAGCTCCAGTGTGTGTGTTGTAGTCCAGAGCACTGGCCTGCTGGCCTGGTTCCTCCCCCATGTAATGTCACGTGGACAGTTAAGCATTGGGTCTTCAGTGGGCACACTCATGCACCCCTAGTGGAGCGAGCCCGTGAGATCTGAGTTTGTGTACAATTTCACTCATTGCCACCAAGTCCCCTTAGACTATGAAACTGCTGAGCAGGCATCGGCGTGTCTGGGGAGGGCACATGATTGGTAAGGGGCTCTTAGGCCATTGCGTGCCCTGTGCATATTCTGGACTCCTCACCAGGGACCTCACGCACTCCCAAATTCCAACCACGCTGCTCTCGCTGAGTGGGACCGTATGTGGAGGAGATGTGCTCCTTGCACACCCCATCCCTAGTATGCTGCTCAGGTAGGAACCTCTGAACATGATAACGAACGCCTGCTCGGCACTCTCTCCCTGGGCGTGGTGGAGAGGGTGATATCCCCAGCTGACTGCATCTGGCTCAGCGCTGATACAGACCTAAGGCGGGACCTGGAAGGTTATAGACCCGGAAAGAGAATGGGCGGTCTCAGTGTAGGGAGGCCTGAGGCTGTGGAATTCGTGTCTGTTTGCTGAATACGTGCAGGCTGGGGGTCTCATTCCCCCAACAAGTGTTCAGCTTCGATGAAAAATGCCCAGTGGGACCTTCATGACAAGAGGAAAAGGCATTGCCAGGCCACAGCCGATGGAAGACAGGCTCACTGTTGTTGGGTGGGAATGCTAGTGGGGGGTTTAAAGTGAAGCCCATGTTAGGGTCCCGTTCCGGAAACCCACAGGTTTTTAAACAATGAAAAGTAAGTTGATTTTATTTACTGTATTGTTTTAATGTACTTACTGTGGCTAGACGTTTTAGCGGGTATTTCCACAACCCAGGGCTGTTAACTTTATGCTAAAGTCCTGCAAAAAATGAGTTTATATGTATAATTTTGGGGCCTCAGAACCATTTGGTCGGTTTCCATTATTAAGGGAAAGGTATGTTCAGTTCTTGAACTTTTTGTTCGAACAAGAATTTGGAGTTCCACAGCCGAAACGCAGTATCAATGGTGTGTCATTCCCAGCCTCAAACTGTTTCATGTAAGCCTCTGGGAGGAAAGCCGATGAGAACTTGTGTCTTTGATGACCATTGCAGGGATTCGGTAGGACATTGAAAGAGGATAGATTGGGATTCACACAGAAGAAAATGTACAGGTGGAAGCACATAATTGTTACTGTATTTTAATTTGCTCAAATGAGATTTTTCAAGCATTCAGGGAAATTGGTTGGCTGTGTTCAATGGCTTATCCTTAATGGAACGATTATCGGACTGTGTGTTGGTCGCATGCAGGAGTGAGGAGTTTCCCCATTGTTACTGATACCTACGCTCCGAGGGCCTTTACTCAGTGCCAGGGCCTCAGGGCCTTTAAGGGCATCAACTCATTGAAGCCTCCCAGCCGTTATGGGTGAAGAGGAAGTAATGTGTACACGAGGGAGATGGGGGAATGGAGTTGGGAGATGGACAGGGCAAGCCATGGAGAGGATTGGCCATTTGTCTAAGTTGTTGAATGCAAACCGGTGTTCTGACACGTAGCCGCCTCACCCAACTCACCATGAGAAGTTCTTTGGAGGGAAGTCCTGCAGTTGGAGTAGATGAGTGTGGGTTGGGCTGCTAACCGCAAAGTCAACTGTTTGACCTCTTCGGCTAAGGCTTTCTCCTTCTGTGAAGATTTACAGCCTTAGGACCCATAAGGAGCAGTTCAGTGCTGCCCTGTAGGGTCACGAGGAATCAGAATTGATCCGATGGCCGTTGGTTTTCTAAATGGAGGTCCAGGGAGAGAACTTGCCCAGCGTCCCAAAGCTGCGTTTGAGGCTAGGCAGTGTCTCCGGAGCCATCACCATGCTAGATTGTGATACTCTCCATTTGTGAGTTTGCCAGTCGCTTGCAGTATGTTCTGTTCCACCCACCGCCGACTGTCCTGTCTCCACAGAGGTCTACCTCTCTGGCTACCTGCAGTCCAACTTCTCTCCATGGTCGGCGTTCAGGGTGTAGTTTTTGGGTGACAAGTACATCTGAGATAGCCCGCATGTGACCTCATGAGTTGTATTAAATGGAGAAGTAGAGTTTAACAGCGTTCACCCTACAAGTGTCACTGACCCTTTCTTGCTGTCCTTTGTGCAGAAGAAGCCCCAAACTGACAGGGTCTTGGTAGCACACGGAGGCAGACACTGTTCTGTGGAATTCAGTTGCAGAAGCGGGCTCCATGGAGGACAGAAAGGGTGGCAGGCAGTAAATTTCTGAAGTGTCAGAGCGCTAAGGCCAGACAGCCTCCGGGATCTACTTAGGGCGTCAGGTATAAGAAATAAGGGGTCTGCGCTCAGAGTGCTAAGTCAGGTGGCCCGCCCTTAACTGCACTCTGTTTCTCAGAACTTTAAAGGGCCAAGGTCCCCTTTCCAAGGCTCTGCTGGGTGCTGAGTTAGGAACAAGCAATACTCCGTTTCCTGGGTTCATTTCTGCCTCTCTCACCTCAGGTGACTAGCTGCCCTGTGTGCTGGGATTGGGGTCTTCCCCAGATGAGGTACTATTTCAGCCTTCAGCGGGAAAGCCCCCGACACATTAGCCTGACGACTTAACTGACAGTAAACGCTGTGTGGATCATGCGTGCAGAGTGTTCTCCCGCTGCACCCACTGCTTCCCAGAGTCAGCGTGCTGGGACCCACCATGGGCTTCCAGGAGAATCCATACAGGAAGAGAGTCTTTGACAGTCGCTCTTGTGTTTTCACAGGTATGCTGAGCCGCTGGGATGACAGTCAGAGGTTCTTGTCTGACCATCCCGACCTTGTCTGTGAAGAAACCACCCAGTATCTTAGTCTGTGGTGTTTCCGTCTAGAAGCCGAACAGGTATCACGTGTCCGAGCTTTTCCTCTGGGAGCTGTAGTGGGATTCGGAATTCTTCTTACTGCTTTTTTGTCTCCTTTTGGTTTTAATTTTGTTGGGTTTTGTTTAGCATTATTTACTGGAAATGAAAGCAGTGGAGAGTTATTTTCAAATGTGCTTGAGTTTAATATGGGGTTTGTTTGTTTTTTAAGTTGTTTTCATTAGCAAATGTGGACATTTTTCCTGATGTGGCCCCTCCCTCTCGCTCTCCCAGAGACATCTCTCATGATCCCGTGTCGTTAGTAAACCTTCTCTGTTAACTACTTAGAAAGTCTTGTTTTAAATTCCAAGCAGTAAACACACACTATGCAATGGAGCCGGTAGCTTGCTCTGCCAGTAGTTGCCTGGTCAGAGCTACAGCCTCTTGTCTGTGGCTGTAGAGGGTTTGATGTACTGTCACATCAAGAGTACTCTCCCCGTTAAGATGTGCCAGTCAGCTCTCCTCCAGAAAGAAAACTAATTCCTCTCTGTTTGCTTTCAGAAAGGGGCTCTGATGGAGCAGATAGCACACCAAGCCGTTGTCATGCAGTTTATTATGGAAATGGCCAAAAACTGTAATGTGGATCCAAGAGGGTGTTTTCGTTTATTTTTCCAGAAAGCCAAAGTAAGTAGCTACGTGGTATGGTCCAGAGGGAAGGTGAGGCCCCTGTGCAGAGCCCCTGAGCCCCAGCCCAGGCTGGGGAGCCCCTCCTCCATCCTGAGCCAAGTGAGCTTACAAGCCAGAGGAAAGGCCAGTTGCTGATTGATTTCACACTGACTTAGATTTAAGGGCAGTGTAACAGAGTGGCATCGAGACTCGCTCAAATGAGGGGTGTATGTATGTATGTATATTCAGAAAGGGGGGGGGGTCTTCAGTACAGTCACTTCTCAGTGCCTTCTGATAAAGCCCACCGCTGTGAGGTGCTGAGGGCGCTGTGTTGGTCCTGCATGTAGAAAACACACAGTGAGTGGGTGGGGAAACGCACTGGATCGTAAGAGTGATTTTTACAGTTGTGGGTCACAGACTACCCTGTTGCTAGTGAAATGATATTTATGAAAGTTCATGGCAAAGAAAGCAGGAGAAGATACTGGAATTTTCCTACAAACTCTTACAACCACCTTGGTTCTACAGGGTGATGCTAGGCAAATTCAACATTGATCTGCTTGGAAACACAGGTTTCGTGCTGTGCCACACTCAGCGGAGTAGCAGTCGTGGAATAGCTGCAGGGGGGAAATGCTGGTGCACTTTCACTCACCGCTGGTGGTACCAGGAAGAGAGAGACAAACAAGTAGAGAGAGTTTGGAAAATTACTGGTACCTATCCTGACCCCCAGAAAGTCTGCTAGGTAAGCACCCCAGAGAGGAGGTTCTCAAAGACCCTTTCGTGGTGCACTGGGCCAGATTTCATTTCCTTAGAAAGTTGTGGCCTTTCTAGGTGCTGGTAGGCTGAGGTCGATGCTGGCTCAGAGTGGCCCTTTGCACAGTGAGTGAAGCACTGCCTGGTCCAGTGCCATCCTCAAGATTGTTACGTTTCAGCCCATTGTTGCAGCCTCTATGTCCTTCTCTCTCCTTGAAGGCTGGTGGCCTTCTCCGAGTATGAGGTCTTTTTTCAGGGCCTGGTCTCCTGATAACCCGTACACAGTAAATGAGCCAGAGTCTCTCCAGCTTCATATCTGGGGAGCATCTTAGCTGTGCTTCTTCCCTGACAGCTTTGTCCATTCCTCTGGCAGTCCGCGGTGTATTCGTCGATCTTCTTCACCAGCACTGTCCATCAAAGCAATCACTTCTTTTGTTTGTTTTTTAAGATCATTTATTAGGGGCCCTTACAACTCCCTTTTACAATTCATACGTCAATTGTATCAGACATATGTGTACATATGTTACCATCATTCTCTTCTAGACTTTCTATTGAGCCCTTGGGATCAGCTCCTCTTGGTTCCTTCCCCCTCGTGGCTCCTTAATAGATTATAGATTGTTCATACTTTTATGTCTCACATCGACTGCTGTCTCCCTTCCCCTCTGGTTTCTGTTGTTCTTTCCCCTGGAGGGGTGTGTGTGGTTATGTGCCATTTATTGCGATTGGTGCCCGCTTCCACCTCTCCCTGTCCTCTCCCTTCCCCTACCCTTCGGGTATCGCAATTCCCATTCCTGTTCCTGGGCCCCGTGTGTCATGACATGTTCATGCTCCCATCTAGTCCAGAGTGGGAAGCAGCACTGGGGTCATGATAGTTGGGGATGAGGAGGCCTCAGGGATCAAGGGTATATTACATGCTCCATCGGTGCTCTACTGCACACTGATTGACTCATCCCCTCCCTACGACCCCTCTGTAGGGGGATGTTCCATTATCCACAGATGAAATTGGTGTCTCCGCTCCGACCCCCCTCATTCTCATCAATGCATTTTTGTTTGTTTGTTGTGAATCTTCTGGTGCCTGTTGTCCGGTCCCAATGACACCTCATGATCGCACCAACTGCTGTGCTTCTTCCACATGGGCTTGTTGCTTCACTGTTGGATGACCGCTTGTTTAACTTCAAGCCTTTAAGACCCCAGACACTGTATCTTTCAATAACTGGCCACTATCCACTGTCTTCACCACATTCACTTAGGCACCCATTTTATCTTCAGTGACGGTGGCGGGTGGGGGAGTAGGTTGAGCATCACAAAATGCCATTCTGTTAGAACACAGGGTTCTTGCAATGAGGGAGGGTGTGAACTAAGGCCCGTCTGCAGCCTCAGTGTATTACCTTATAAATATATGTACATAGCAGATACCTCTGTTTGTATGGGTTAATGTATTTACATAAGCACACACCTCTGTTAATACCTCTATCTCTAGCTTTGCTTGCTAGAGCTTTCCTCTGTTCCCTTTTGCCTCCTCCTGCCCCACCATCACGTGCCCCTTCTCCCACCTCTTAGTGCTTCCTCTCAGCTAGATTGCTGCTGCTCTAACACCCACAGGGTCTCTGCAACCTCCTAGTTGTTGCTTTCAATTCCCAGGTTGCTCCCCTGTCTATGGCGTTGTTTGCTCACCACCACCGGGTACCCCGTTTTCTCCCCTCAAGACCCCCCAGGGCCATTGCTTTCTCCCGGAGCTTGCTTCCCATGTCTGTCTTACATAAGTAGGCAAACCAGCAAAGTCCTAGTCCAAACAATAAGTAAAACAGAGAAAAAAAACCCCAAGACCATACACAGTTCCAGGTCTGTCCTGGGCCTTTATGAATCTCTTCCCCCTGGTCCTGGGGGTGTTCTGGGGCTGTCCCTCCTAGCCGGAAGTCTATTTTGGGGGCTAGTTAGGGGCTTTGTGGATTGGCTTTGCACCAATTTCTGATCTGCTGTTCTCCCTTCTTGGCTCGCCCCACTGCGGGGGATTCAGGCCACATTATCTCCCCGCCATGTGTCCCGACTATTGCCCTCTGTCAGGGGACATGTCTTGCGTTTCTGGTGGTCCTGCCGTCCCCTCTGTGCCTTAGCGGCTCCGCGAGGGACATCATCCCCAGGCTCGGTGTGCCCTTATGGAGTGTAGGCCCACTGTCCGTTTCTTGTTCTTTCTTGGTTTGCTTCTGTGTGGGTGTGGTGAGTCAGCTCCTTGCCCCACTTAGTGTTCTTCTCTGTCACGTACTTCTAGGGCGAGGGTCAGACTGGCTCTGGTTGGGGCTGGCCCTGGAGCCCAGTCTCTTCATGCGATCCTCACGTGGTTATGTGCTCTCCTGTTTGGTGCACTGTGCTGGGGTCTGTACGCACACTCCCGATTCTGGGCTCCATCTTGACTCCTCCCTGCAATCAATTCTTTTGTCTTCCTTATTGTTGGCCCAGCTTCAGTCAGGCGCACTGTAGTCCTCAAAGTAACAAACACCCTGGCTTTCCTGCGCGTCAGCGAGGTCTTGTGATATGTTTGCTCTCTGGTCTGCTGCTTCCGTGGGCACTGATTGTGGGTCCACGTCACATGAACCCTGGACAACTTCAGTCAGCTCCTCATGGATCATGCTGTTGTTGTCATTCGGTCCAGGTGTGGGAATTTCCAAACAATTCTGTGTTGCGGTATAATCACCTTTAAGGTTCTGGGCGGTCTTCGTCCTCTAGGCTTTCGGCAGACAGGATTGTCCATCAACACACCGAAGGTTGTGAATGAGTTTCCACTCCTGGGCCCTCATTCTTCACACGGCCCACCTTCGTGGGCTATTTGCTCCGCACACAGTGAATCAGCATGGTGAAAGGATGGTCAGCCCTGATGCACACCTTTTCCTGATTTCAAAACCGGGCAGTACTCCCTTGTTCTGCTCCAGTGACTGTCTGAGAATAAGAATGCTAATGCTGATACCTTACTCATCTTTCTCTCGCGTTCTTTACTTCCTGGGCGTACAGTTGAGGTTGAATTAGAAACCGAAGGGAGAAGCCCACAGCATTTTAAGCCAGAGATAAACAAAATTTGCAAAACTGGAGCACGCTGTCACTCTTCTTGCTGATGTTACTTGTGCTTTGGGCAAGTATAGTTATTTATGCAAATGCACTATTAGTGTTATATTAAATTTGCAAAGTTACATGACAGCGAGACCTCAGATTCCTCTGCTTCAGTTTCTCATGCAGATGCTCTGTGGAGAGAGACGGAGCCTTTCACTCCCAAGAGTGACCATCTGGGAAGCCCCCAGGGCAGCCCTGCCCTGTCCTCGAGGGTCACTGAGTTGGAGCCGACCCCATGGCAGGGAGTGAGATAGCCCACATGCAGACGAGCTCCTCGGGCTCTCGGGTCATCGTTACCGTCGAGATGCCATCGCTTGAGAGCTGTTGCCTTTGAGAAGCCCTGTTCCAGGGGCACGGCTCCCGTGTGGGGCCAACCCTCCATGTCTGTCAGCTGCAGAGTGAAGAAGTTGTGGTCTGTTCAAATCCCAGCCCCGCCCAGCATGGACCCCCTGACAGGGACGTGAGCAAAGCAGGTCTTAGACCCGGCCAGTACGCCTCAGGAAACTCAGGAGCTGGCAGAACTCGACGATAGCTTGTTTAGGAGTCCATCCAAAAGGGGACTCCCAAAAGTTATGGGAAAACTCCCTTTTCCTTCCATTTCTCCACCAACTTTTCGAAGCCCCCTGTTCAAGCAGTCAAGTTGAAAAGGCAAAGGAGCACTGGAGACGGTGGTCACCACACTGGTCACTCAGAGAGGAGGGGAAGGGGACGCTGGTGCGAGTGGTTTCCTTGGCCGCTGGGCCTGGTCTCTTTCCTCGTCTCTGGGGACTCAGTGGGGTTCCCCGTGATCCGTTGTCTGTACCTTTCATGCACATCTGCATACAGATGATACATTGTTGTGTCCACAGAAAGACAAGAAGGAAACTCAATCAAGGTTATGCCTGGGTGGGAGAATGGTACCTGATTTCTTCATGTCCTCCGTTGAACATGTTTTCCTTTATAAAGAAAGGAGAAGAATTCTCTTTTTAGTTAAAAATACCAGCATGGCAGTCGTTCTTCTCTCAGATGCCCTAAACGCACCTGAAGCGCAGCTGCCATAGGACAGTAGCGTCTTGATGCCTCGACGGGTGAGCAGACGCCGGCGGCTCGTGCACACCTGTGCTCACACGGGAGCGAGACTCACCCGTCCCCGTCACACGTGAGGTGCTGGGGCTCATCTTTAGTGGGATAGTGCCATTTGGCAAAAAAAAGAAGGGTGTGTGTATGCGTGTGTGTTGCAGTGTTCTTTGTTCAGATCAAGCTGGAAGGCATGAGGTCTTGGCTCTTAGCATTGTGCTCTTGGTGGTTTTAAAAAATTCAGCATCCATCACGTTTAATGAACAAACGTGGAAAAAGTTATTTGCTACTCAAAACACTGTTGAACTAAGTAGTAATTGTACTTGGCTTTTAAAAGTATTCTTCATAATCTATAACCACACCCTATTTTTTACTGTGTGGTCTCTTTTCCATGGCCAAAGTCAGAGTGACATTTTCCTTGAAAATACTATCAGTGAACTTCATGGCTTCAAGTACCCCCTTTATAGGTCTGATCAGTTTTGTTCTAATGGTCAGTTTTCTTTTTTTCCCTTCCTCAACTCCTTAGCATTGTTTCCCTTTTACTCCCTACCCCACCACTTTACCCTCCCGAAACCCATATTCTCCTTGCTGTCCCTGTTGGGTTCGTCAGTCCTGAGTTTCAGATGCCCAAACCAGGAAAGCGTGTAGCACAACTTCAAGAGGGAGGCCTCCGGTGACATAAGACCTCTGAGATACGTCCTGATGGGAACGAAACAAAACAAAATAGAGAAAATGCTGAAAACCAGATCAGGTCCCGCCTGCATCAGAGGGGCGGGGGGTGGAGATCCACTGACACAGTTTTACTGTTCAGTGCAGATTTATGCCTTTGACCTTCTGTGCTCCTGTCTTCACTGCCCTCTGTCTAGTGACCCTTTCCCCCCATCCCTCCGTTGTGGATACAGGGAGTTCACCGGAGGCTGGTTTTCTGTGTGGTTCCCACACAGGAATCTCGGGCTCCCCCTGACATCCATAGTCTTCTGCAAACCAGCCCCACAGTTTAGTTGCTGGTACTGATGCCTTCTTCGATGTCAGATTATACAATGTACAGGCCTTCGTAGCTGATGATGGTGTGCTTCTGCCACGGGGACTTAGTTGACATCTCGCTTAGATGGCTGCTTGTTTGGAGACAAGCTTTTAAGGCCCCAGGCACTATTTCATCTAATAAGTGGGCACCATGTAGATGCTTGTCTCACTTTGCTAGCGCTCCCTTCCTGAGGGCGAGCGTCGAGCAGGGCCGTGGTGTAAGAGCTGGTTGTTCCTAAGTTGGAGCTGGGGTTCGCGTGAACCCCAAGGGCGGGGTGGCTTCCTTCTCTTCGTGCAGTATTACTTGACGGCCGGTGTCACTTCATCCCATGGCTCAGTCATGACAAGCAGAATTGTACAATTGCCTCCACAATCAGTTTCCAAACATTCTTTGTGTTTCTGGATTCCTTGACAACATTTCCCTCTTACCACCCCCCCCCATGCCCCCCCATCCCCCCAAAATCCTTGTATTCTCCTTGCTGTCCCTATAGCTTCATCAATTCTGGGTTTCATTTACTGAAAAAGACAAAAACATACAATTTCAAGACAGTGACACACACACCCCCAATGACATAACATCTCTGAGATACTCCCAAATACGAACAAAATAAAGCAGAATGTCCATCACAGGTTTGCTGGCACAATGCAAGACCTTGTTTGTCAGCCTGCCAACAGCTCATCAGTCTTGGCACAGCTGTCTTCTGCTTCCTCGGACACCATGTACTTTCTGGCTTATGTCCTCAGGTTACAGGTGGGTCTCAGGGCGAGTCCAGTGGAGTTCTTGTGTGGGCTCTCACTGACAGCACCAGTCACATTTGTTGGGCACTTTGTGTCAAGGACTGTTTTAAACTCGCTGTGGGGATTAACTCACGAGATCCTCCTAGCAATTTAGGGAAATGAGAATCTGTTTCCCGGTGAGGAAACTGCTGCCAAGAAATTAACCCGCTCTCCCCTGAGTTAGATCAGAAGAAGGCCAGTTGAGTCCCTCTGGGTGTAAGCCCAGGCCTGGGCATCGGTGGTGTCACTCCCACCTTCCCTAGCGTGTTGCACAACCGTTTCAGGATAGGTTTGGATCTAAAGACTGCTGTGCCTGTATATTCACATGAGTGCCATGTATTGATAATAGTGCTTCATATGTGGGCTAAAAATATAATTAAGGAAGTTATTCCTAAATCGCTGGAGACTTAAGATGGCCGCACACAATGATTTGCCTACATATCGACACTACTCAGTGACCCACAGGTGTCTGTCTGGTCACATGACCTCAGCCACATGGGAGAGAAATGGGATTTCAAACAAACGTGCCCATTGAGATCACAGAAAGGTGTGCTTCAAAGGTCTCAGTCACCATGGGAACTTAACCTTCCTTAACCTTGGATGTGCACTGTGACCTCACGAGCTGCCAAGAAACCTAGATGAGGCCCCTGTCAGTATAGGGAGATTGGGAATCGAGAATTTTGCTAATGCTGTAGATCAGTGGTTCTCAACCTTCCTAATGCCATGACCCTTCTACAGTTCCTCATGCTGTGGTGACCCTCCAACCATCAGATTATTTTTGTTGCTACTTCATAACTAATTTTGCTAGTTATGAATCGGGCGACCCCTATGAAAGGGTCATTCGGCCCCCAAAGGGGTTGAGAACCACTGCTTTAGATCCTTGGATGACCAGGCATCTCCTTTAACATAGACCATGGCACCTGTATCGTCTCCATAACGTTGGAGTGAGGTTACTTGCTAAACTGGAGCACAAAGAGATTTCTGTACTGTGGCTGAATATTGAGTTTGGTTAGTGTAAGGCTCTGTGAAATAGAGAAGATTGTGGAGGGGGCTTACCAGAGATGGGTAATGGTGCCCCCTCAGTAAGAAATGGATGGATAGAACCAGTGTGAGAGGCTCAGGAGGACTGTTGGAGGTGCTGCCAGCGGGGAAGAGAGAGAGCAAGACCCACTCTGTGTTATCTGCAAGAGGGGTTCCTTCCTGATTTGCAGACGCAGCAGGAACCAGGACAAGCTGGCCATTGATGGACGTGGCCAACAGGCAACATCCACGCTTGAACCGTGTGCCTCATCTGCTCTTGCCACTGCAGGCTCGACCTGCTTTGGACAACCTTCCATTGGTCTCGGCGTCTTGCAAACCCTCTCTGGTTCTTGTGTTTTCTCTAGGCTGAGGAAGAAGGCTATTTCGAAGCATTCAAAAACGAACTTGAAGCTTTCAAGTCAAGAGTAAGACTTTATTCTCAGTCACACAGTTTTCCGCCTCTGATGGTTCAGAATCATGTTCTCCATTCTGGAGATGGATCTATAGGTGTATTAGAATCCTTCCCACAGGTACGTTGGAAAAGCAAATAATCTGTGTTATAAATGTATCAGTGCGCACAATTTGTCTCCTTTTGGACTGTTCCCTCTTACATATGTGTGACCAGTTTAAATATGGGGCCCTGAAGATAGCCCTGAGCATCATTCCATGCCATGTTCTGGCATTGAATCGCCTCCTGGCTACTTAGAGACCCCAGGTTCCAGTTAGCCGAAGGAGCCCTGGTGGCATGGTGGTTGTAAATAGGGCTGCTAACCACAAGGTCGGTAGTTTGAAGCCACCAGGCGCTCTGGGAGAAAGACGGTTTTCTACTCCCCAGAGAGTGACCGTGTCGGCAACCCGCGCGGCTCTGCCCTGTCCTGTGGGGTTGCAGCGTCTGGTATGGACGTGATGGCAGTGAGCTTGGAGCGTTTCTCAGGACCCTCTCTCCTCTCCATTGTGGCTCCAGAAGGTGGCTTCTGAGGCTCTTCATGCCGAGTGGCAGGCTAGGTCGTTTGTTGCACGAGTTTGTCATTGTCCCCTTACGTCTTGCATTGCCGCGAGACTTGGTGCACTTCGTGTCAAGCTGCCAACAACTCGAGCCTCTTCAGAGTGTGCGGTAGACCAAGCTAAAGCAGTGGCACCGGCATCGGGAAGGTCAAAAAGAAGGTTGCCGGAGTAGGGTCTGCCTCACGTTACAGTCCTGGGTCATCATTAGAGTCCAGCCACGTCTCACTTCTGGGCCTGAGACACTCACCATGTTTAGGCCAGTTCAGTCTGTCCCTTCACAGGACGGAAAGGGATGTGTCGTTCAGAGGACAGCGGGAGGAGAGTCCTTAGTGCCTCATTCGTGGGCCTCATCAAGTAGTGGGACTGGATAGGTTCTCAGGCTTTGGACCTCATGACTCTGTGATTTCACCAATCCAGTACAAGTCAGAGGAACCATTTATAGGATGTAATTGGTCATATTCAACTCAAGACTAGAATATTGCGCTCCAGGATGGAAATCATTAAAGGTCTGATTTTTAATTTTTTTTTTTAGTTTTAAATAATTAAGTCTTATGGGAGCCGCTCTGGAATGTCCTTACGGGTTCACTATGAGTCAGCATCGGTCGACTCGATGGCTGTGGGTTTGGGTCTCGGAGGGTGGTGGTTCATGACATGTTAATACAGACTAGGTTTATTTTTGCCTTTATCGAAGGAAGTGATGGTTTGCTGCTTCTAGTTTAGAAATCATTAAACAGAACATTCCTGCCATTTTATTTTACAAACCTAAATGAAACTGCCCTTTTATCCTCAATTGACTGAAGGGTCTAAGACCGTAACCCTCACGATCCCTTGCTGGCTCTGCCTAGAGACCTGCGGAAGATGCGGCCGCCTGGGGAGGCCTCCCTCCCGGAGACAGTGCTGCTGGGCAGGGGACGGGGCCTTCCCTCTGGTGCTGCTCACTGTCTCATTAGGGGTTCGTGGAGAGCAGAGAAGGGGAAACGGGCACCGCACCGGGGTGCGTGGTTGCGTGGCCCTTGCCTGGCGCCGGTCGGTCGTCACGTGTGCTTTTCTCCTGCCCTTGTCCCCCAGAACCCGGGCCCTCTTCAGTGCTCCGTCAACGCCGCTCTCTGCAGCTTCGACCCGGCGGTCCACAGAGAGGACGACGACCCCAAAATGATGGACACGGCGTGACGGGGTGAAGGCCGCCGAGGCGCGTCTGCCCGTGCGACAGGGAGACGCCTGGCCGTTGTCTGGACACTTGAGCACGGGCGCTGCACTTTATTTTTGTTCGGGGTTTGATGGGCGGGGAGGAAGAGTACTGAGACGTTTGATATTTTTTTTAACGTGCTGCTAGTTGGTTTTGTCTGCTTGAGAGGAGTGGTTCCAGAATCTGCGGGAAGTCGACTGGACTCTTGGGTTTTTCCTTTCCTTCCTTTGGTCTTATTGTCCCATCTTTGGAATCAAAGTTCTGGAAATCTGCACAAATCCAATGTTTACAAGGACCGGTGGATCCTACAAGTCCGCTGCTCTGTGGCCAGACCCCGCCCTGCTCTCCCAAAGGACCGAAGATCAACGTGAAGAACTTGCACCTTCCGAGATAGCTGTCGCATCTGCTGTTTCCTCGTAGGCAAAGCAATAAATCGTAGTTAACAACCTACTTTACGCAACTGGGTGGTACCGATTGAAACCACACAGTTCCCCTGAAAACAGCCCTAACTGCACTTGTATTGGCCGCCCCCTCAACTAAATACAGCACGGTAATCCACCAGTTGATAGGATACTAAATTTGCACATGCACACCCCGAATCGTCACTGTACAACTGTGTTCCCTAGTAGTGGGTGGCACCCTGTTGGCTTTGGAAGAGGAAGGATTCTCGAGATACAAGAAGCTGCAGCTGGGATTTGAGGCCCAATCTGCAAAAATAGGGGATGGAAATAGCTAGATAGCAATGTGAAGCTCATCCTTAATCTCGCTTGGCCTGGTCGGGGGTGGGGTGTCTCTCAGGGAGCAGGTTTTATAGGGTCTGAGTGACTGTTAGACCAAACAGGAAGGAGAAGCTGATCTTAAGAATTAGCATGGTGGGCGGTTTGTTTGAGTCTGATGGAGGCCAAGGGTTTTTCTCAACTACAGGGGAAACCTGGCAGCGCTAAGTGCGGGAAGCTGCCAACATTTGAGATAGTTGGATGACCCCTGTTTGCAGTGCTGGCTTTTTGTTTGGCTCTCCTTGCCCTGGCTCGGTCTCCATGTCGTTCACGTTAAGGATGTCAGGATGCTTGATGACCCCCTGGATGTGGCATTAGATGACAATGCTAATTATGCGATCTTTACTACTTGAGGGTTCCAACTCTAACCCAGAGGAATGGCAGCCTCGAGCTTGGACCGGGGCCATTCTTTGGCCCAGTGGCATCGTGTGGAAGATGGTGAGCAGTGGGGGTACGTGCTCCAGGCTGAGAAGCCATGCCACGGAGCCCTTCGGGCGGTCAGACATGGGTCCTGCAGGCCCTCGTTTGCACCACTTTAAAACAGGTGACCGGGCACTCAGTGTCCACAGAGACGGCTCGATTGATGGACTCTGCCTCATCTGTAGCATCACACTCTGCCTGGTTTTCAGAATAAAAGTCTCTCTGTGCTTTTGATAAGAAATATATGATAAATAATAAAATATCTAATTTATACGGCACCCTCCACCAGCCTGTACTTGTATTTGTCCCAGTGACCTAGTTGGAGAAGTGTGCCCTGAGTCTTCTCTCTGCAGCCCTTTCGACTAGAGAGAGCCCGGGCCACCAGGGTTCCTCGCACACCTTAGCTGGACCAGGATGTTCGGTCAGCCCCGAGCTCTCCCAGGGTTTTCCTGGAAGCATCCAGGTTGCAGTGCATGTCATTTTGCCTCTACAGGGGAGGGGTATTCATGACGGAAGACTGTGAGGAGGAGACTTGAGTGCCCACACTGAAAACCCGATTCCTGCAGGGTGTCTCTATTTCTTAAAACGGGGATCGCCGAAGGAGCGAATCTTTCAAATGTGTGTGCTTGCTCTGAAAGGGGAATGCCTGTGAAAGCAACGGGGCTCATCGGGGAAGGACTTTGAGGCCGTGGCCCTCTGCGGACCGAGCAGGACGCGGGTCCTTCCAGCAGTGAAACGGCATCCTGTAGTCTCCTCCTTCCCCTTGGGCGAGTGTGAAGAGGATCATCCTCTGGCTTCTGTTTAAAAGGAGGGGGCAGAGCACACCAAGCCTCGGAAAGTCCAGGCGTATGGCCCCTTTGACCTCGAACGTGTCCATCAGAGATTCTTCTTTCACTTGATTGAACTTATTTTCGAATAAAGGATTTTTTAAAAATAAAGTGTACATGTATTCCATGTGAACCGTCCCACCGTTGAATTCAGTGGGGTGAGCTCATCAGCTCAGGTTTCCTATGAAAACCAGGGCGGCATCCTCGAAAGGCGGACGAACACGTGCACTTGGTCCAGCAGGAAAATGGCTGCGGGTTGGTCAGGCCATGTTCAGAAGTTGCCCCAAGAGTGGGCTTCGGGAAAATGGGAAAAAAAAAGATGTCACTCTACCAAGTCTCAATCTTGGGCTTTGAAAAACGTCTCGTATTTCAGTTCTTGACTGAATGGTGCTTGTCTGGAGGGAGTGGAGCCTCAGAGTCGGTATTCGTTTCCCATCTGTGGGCACCCGCGGATTTCCCCCATTGTCCTGGGGCTGATTTCTCTAGTGCGGATTCCTTTGCTATGTGAGAACCAGGCAGACAGGATGAGTAAAGCTGAAAATTGAACCTTAACATTGGGCTTTTTTTTAATTAGGAAAAAGGGTTTGTTTTTTTTTAGCGATTTCCCCAAATGTCATACCTTAGTTTAATTCCTCGTGCTGTGTATCCTTCAAGCACGTGCTTTTGCAGAAACAACGCACGTCACATGGATGACGCTTTGGGAAAATCCTTCTTAAAGGGCAATCTGGCGGGATACCTTTGCCAGGACTCGTTCAGGGGCCGTGGGCTGAGGAGCAGGCAGGGCGGAAGACGACTGACTGCAGAGCATCCTGTGCTATACTCACCGCGGTGCCCACAGCCCCGTTTTAAAACTCCAGGCGAGCACACCTCTCACGATCAAAATGTAGCGTTGGAGAGAGCAGGCCTTTGGATGTATCAGTGTCGCGGATAGTGTCTGAGAAGACACCTGCCTGCTGTACGACTCATTTATTCTTGCTGTTGGTTGCAAGGACAGGACCCAGTAGAATCTGAGTGTGTCTGATAATGGAATTACAGTCTGTACAGGTCAGCTTTGGCGTGCATTTTATTTCTGTGGGATGTCATCAGAGGTGGCACTTTAAAAGTACCTTGGCCCAGTGTTTGGCAAGCCAAACCAGTGCTGACTCATAGTGACCCCTATGGGTTTCGAGACACTTCATGGGAGTAGAAAGCCCGGTCTCTCCTGAGCCGCTGCTGCTGGTTTTGAACTGCCAGCTGCACGGATTGCAGCCCAACACATAACCAGTGGAGCCGAGCAGAAATGGCGTCTCGGGCTGGGCCAAACGGCCACCAGTGTGCGTTTCCCACAGCACACTGCACGCACTCCCCGAGGATGGGGCCTACACAAGTGGTGGCTCCGAAGAAGAGAGGCCTGGTCCTCCTCTGCCAGGCAGAGACACTGAGCAGGAGACCCTCTGAGTGGGGGTCTCGGCTCCTGCCATCCTTCCAGGCAGCATGTGAGCCCACAAGGCTTCTCAGGCAATATGGGCTTCTCTGCTGCGGTGGCCTTCTTGGGACCATGTCCACTCCCCCAGCATAGGCACTGTTCACTCGGATTTCCCCAAACCCGGAAGGAGAGTGAACATTCTTTTGAAAGGTGGCAGGGACAGGTGGGGTGCAGAGTGCGCTGCAGGGGGCCACAGACACAGTCACCCACAGTTTGGAGATTTCGTTTTATTATAAAGATGAGTGCAGGTCGCATAGCCTTGGGGTACAGTGGTAATTCATGAGTTTAGTAAAAACAGTTTTGTAAAGTACACAACATTCAAGTAAAGCATTAGAAACAATTTTGTAAAGATGAAACGCACTGTCTTGGTCGCTTTGAAAGATCAACAAGGAATGAATAATCAGAGAAATCAATTTCCCCACCCAAACAGGAACCGATTGTACACAAAGTGGTTCAAACGTTGAAAAGAGCAGAGGCCAGGCCTTGTTTGGACATGGGTCTCGTGGTGGTAGCACCTGTGGGCTAACGGGAAGGCAGGAGTTCACACCTTCCAGTAAGATCGCTATGGAAACCCTATGGGGGAGAGGGGTTGTTTCTACATTGTCCTTCCCAGGGGCTATGGGTGGGACTGGCAGCAATGGGTTTTTGTTTTTAAAAAGCATTGACTAGGCTACGGTGTAGTGGTGTGTCTCCTCCTCTGGGGATGAAGCCTGGTCTCATCGCGTCCTCGAGGCCCCTGGAAGGCCTCGTGCCGCACGGATGGATTACACCGCCAGGGCTGTTCCTGCGGCACTTGCAGGGATGGCCATGGAATCTTCTGGCTAAGTGCCAGCGAGTGGGTCCTGGCTCGTCACGACTGTATGTACAGCAGAGGGAAACTCGGCCGGGCCCTGGGCCATCCTCACGACGTGGCCGTGTTGGGGCCCATTACTGGAGTCACTGTGTCCACGACTTTGCCCTCTCAGCGACCCTCTACCAAAGCATGCCGTCTGTCCTCCAGGGCCAGTCCTAGCTGAGAGCACGTCCAAAGTGCGGGCCATGCAGTTCTGCTGCCACAGCCACTTCCTCGAGGAGGAGTTCAGCCTTGGTTCAGCAAAAGGAGCTGGGGTGGCAGTGGGTTCCATGATGGGCTGCAAACCACAAGGTGGGCGGTTTGAAACCACCAGCCGCTCCGAGGGAGAAACAGGAGGCTATCTACTCCCATAAGCGTCACTATGAGCCCAAATTGACTAGACAGTAGAGGGTTTGGAGTTTCCTGGTCATTTTATACATATAGCGTGGGGGCTCTGGCGGGTTCCTTATCAGTTGCTACCACAAGGTCAGCGGTTCAGACCCACCAGCCATTCAGAGGGAGACTGCTGAGGCCATCTCTGCCTGCAAAGATTCGGAGTCTTGGAAGCCCAATGAGACAGTTCTACCCTGTCCTTAGGGTGCCCATGAGTCAGAATCAACTCGATGGCAGTGAGTGAGTTTGTAATGGCATGTGAAGCCAGTGCATTGCCACCACTGCTCACGAAATACGACTGCGCTGGTCTCTGTCCTTCCTTCCCCCTCTCCCTCCTTTCCTAATGCAGCGAGGCATATCAGACATTTTGGCCACCAAGAAACACGGGCATCCTCACACATTTCTGAACTTGAGTGACCTCTGAGAAGACGCACAACTTCACATTTCCACTGAAGAGAAAGTTCAGTCCACTCTGCTGCTTCTCCAAGAAGGTATACTATCCAATTCTACATTAATCCTCCCTATCTGTATACATGCTATTTCACAAAAAGAAAGCCAGTTGCTACAGTACTATTAGCCTGACTGCGGTGATGGATACACATCTCAGAGGACTTTGAAAACTCGAGGAAACAGCAGGTGTGACAGAGTATATTCGGAGTATAAATGGAGTATATTCGGCCAGCGTGTTAGGTTTCTTAAAGGCAGGCTTGGAATGTGGGAGAGACGAATCCCAGTGCGAGGAAGCTCTCCCTCTGGGCATCAGTCTATGCATAACGCCTCTCGGAGAGATGAGCTCAGTAGGACCACGTTCACTCAGCTTTCCCAGAAGAGGACGGACACCTTTATCAGCCACTCACTGAACGAAAAGGCAGATGGCTACCAAATGCTCTTTTAATGTGGAGCTAAAAAGAACTTTCTGGGTTTGCACAGCCTTCACGGACGGGTTAGGTGGGCATGCTCTCAGAAGACGGCCGGAGGCCACACTGGACAATTTGGAACAGCGAGTGCGAGCATGGACGCCGTTGGCAAGCCTTCAGGATCTCAGAAAGCCAGCGGCAATGAAAGGAACCTGGGGTACAGGGTGCACTCGGGTGGCATCGGGCCGTGGAGGGTCCGCCTGGCTCCCCGGTGGGCCCGCGCGCTCCTCACGGAGTGACGGAGGCTCTCTGGCTGGTCTGTGGCACTTTGGTTTGCAGGAACGCATACACGTGGGGCCAGATCTTGTTGGTTTCCGTTCCGGAGAAGGTCTCCAGCACCCCTTTTCTCCTAAAAGAGGGGGAGTAGGGGGTGAAAGGGTGGAGAAGAACACAGGCCTGAGTCTCCTTAAGCTTCTGCCAACAAAGACGCCGGTGGAGTCCGGGGCCGAGTTGAGTGTAGGTTTGCGATGAAGGAGAAAGGCTCTGTGGGCACCGGGCACCGAGCCTGGTTTCATCTGTGCCCTTGGGTTGCCGGCCCCTTGTGGAGCCTGCTCTGTAGAGGGGCCTTCAGAAAATGCGTGGGGAAATTCCATTCCCTCTTCATCCCATCCTTCCGCCATCTTTCTGAAGCCCCCCACCTGCAGGCTAAGTGCACTCTAATGCTATTTCAGTGGATACATCCATTCAAAGCCCAGCTTTCCTTAGGGGACAAGCTGAGAAGTAAAATAATAGACCAGCCCACCCACTGGGTGGGTTGCCGAACTCGGGCTGGGTGGGACCCTAGAGCCCCCTTTGGTTTCTTGCGCTCACTCACCCAGGTGCAAAAAAGAGCTGGCTAATACTTAGCCCCTCTTTTCACTGGACTGCCTTCCCCACTCCATTCTAGCTTCTAGGGGAAACTGGAGGAAAAGCTGTTGCTTTTATTGACTTATTTTTTCTTCCCTCGTGGGCTTCTCCCATCCAGGAGAGAGGGCCCCGGCTTGTCCCAGGCAGGCCACCAGCCAGTCTGTCTACTGCAGCTCCTGGGGGTGGAGGTGGGGTACGACGTGAGGATCTGAACCTGGCTGCCTTTCAAAGCACACATACCTCCTCACCTCCCAGGCAGGGTGCACACATGTGGGCGCACACACACAGAGCCTAGGGGTTGCATGGAGTCCCGGGGTGTGTGTGTGTGTGTACACAGTTCCAGTCCACCCAGAGGTACAGAAGAAAGGCCTGGCACTCTCCTTGTGGAAGGTCACAACCTTGAGCACCCTATTCTGTGACACACGTGCTGTGCTGATGGCCACTGCTTAGCCAGAACTGCAGAGACCCGGGCGGCGGCACACACTGGGCTCACCCAGACAGGCCTCGGAGTAGAGGCCTGGTAATCTGCTTCTGAAATGTCAGGCCCCGAGAACCTGAGAGGGCCCAGTTCTACCCTGACACACACGGCAGGGTCGTGGCACACTGTTTACCCAGTCAGTGGTCAGCCAGACCCGGTCAGACCTCTGCAGTCCCAGCCAGGTTTTCCAAGGACTCACGGGAGACCAAAAGATCCCTCTGGACGCCTAACATTCACCACAGTTCAGGTTAATGAGTATTCTGCCTGTTTTCTGGGTAAGTAACACCAAAGAAAAGAAACCATGCCGATGCCCAAGCCCACTTGCCTTCAAGTCCATGCCGACTCATGGCGACCCTACAGGACAGGATAGAACTGCCCCTGAGGGTCCCTGAGGCTGTAACCCTTTATGGAAGCAGACAGCTGCATCTTTCTCCTTTGAAGCAGTTCATGGGTTTGAACTGCCAACCAACGTTTAACCTGCATGCCACCCCGGCTCCTGTATGCAAATACATCATATTAGAAGCCCACCTGCTTCGAACGCTCATAACGAGAACACTGGTGTGGCGGGTTAATGTCCACGTAATCAAAGGGAACTGGCTTCCTCCTCAGCAGGCTCTCTGGAGAGCGTTGGTCCATGCAGACCTTGCCCCAGAGCCAAGAAGAGTTGAGGGTTTTTAAAACAGTGCAATTGCGGGCATGCTACAATGATTCCACAGACAGGCAGGCACCATCACAGGCTGCGCAGCACTTATCGGGTTACGTCCAGGCCTCGCCGTGCGTGTGGAAGCGAGAGGGGGAAACCTGAATTAATGGCAGAAGGCAGCACCAGCTAGGAGTACCTTTAAGCCTGAGACCCGAGTCATCAATGTATCTGGGCAACCTTCCCCAATGTCCTTCGCCACACCATGAAGGAACTAAGCCCTTCCCAGGGTGGTGAAGGGTTAAGGTACACAGCTGTGGTTGGAGGCAGGCACCCAGGCAAAGGCACCGGAAGAAAGGCCTGGCCACCCGCTTCCATTTAAAAACAAAACCGCCCCTGGAAACCCTGTGAAGCACACAAGCCCCTAAGCGAAGCTTTAGTTCCCTCGACTAACAGCCCTGTGGGTCGTTTTTCATCTGTCCAGTCTGAAGGCCTCCCCTCTTCTGAGGACCTCTGGGCAAGGCCTTGACCATGCGGTTCCCACTGCCCAGCTCCAAGGGCAGACGGAGGGGGGAAGAGCTGAGCCGTGCCGACCTTGGGACCTCTGCTGGCAGGACATGCTGAGCCAGTGGATGAACTGGTAGGAAGGACGTCAGCTGGAGTGCTGGGGACGGGGTGCCCTCAGAGAGGCCCCACCCCCACCCTCAGGATGGGAACCAGCCCAGGAGGTCTTTGAAGCTGAGGGGAGGAGGCCTGGTGAGGATCTCTGAGCACATGCCTGGTGGCAGGTGCGGCCCAGCCACCTTCATGAAAGAAGAGCCGGCCTGGGGCCAGGCACCACACACAAGGCAGCAGGGACGAGAGAAGAGCACACACTTGGAACCAGCCACACCCAGCCGGCGTGCTGACCTTCAGCCCCCCCTTCGAAGAGCGAGTCCCCCTCATGGGCAGAGCCCATTTGTGTGGGGTCTCCTGTTCCCACGGGATGATGGAACGCAGGCTCCCGGCCCTCCTGGGGGGGCTGCTCCCCACACCAGAGCGGTTCTGGTAAGCAAAGCACTCACTGGTAGTACTCCAGCACCGGCTCCGTCTGGGCCTCGTACGCCTTCAGCCTCTTGAGGACCGTCTCTGGCTTGTCGTCCTCGCGCTGGACCAGAGGCTCGCCCGTCAGGTCGTCCACGCCCTAAAGGGGAGGCAAAGCCAGCCTGACATTCCTGCAAGGGGCTGCAGACACAACTTCACCTGGCTGTGAAACCAACACGCCCCCTACACAAGCAGCAAGCACCACGGTGCAGTGGGTGCAGTGCGGAGGGTTTGCAACCACAGGCTTGGACCTCGGCCTATCCTGGGGACAGCGAGCCCGGAGACCTGGGTGGCAGCCACAGACCCCTCAGAGGTTTGGGAAGGCGCCTCGGGACTAAGTTGACATGCACACAAGATTCCCCTCCGACAGGACAGCTCAAGAAGCAAAGGTATCGCTAGCCCCGGCACACCCCCTCAGGCATTCCCTGGCTCCGTGGAGAGAGGGGCAAAAATAAAGGCTTCGAAGGAACAACAGACCCCTGCTTCTGCTGGTGGAGGTCCTGGAGGGTCCAGATGGTGAGTGTGCTCGGCTGCCACCCGAGAAGTGGGAGGTCCAAGTGCACTCAGGTGCATCAAAGAAAGGCCTGGCTGTCTACTTCCAAAGTATGGGCCACTTAGAACCCAGTGGTGCACAGTTCTGCTCTAAGCAGTGAGTCACAGTCAGCTCAGGGAGAACGAATTCTCGGCCTGCTGCTCTAGGAACACCTTTGCCACCAGGCAACTGACCACCCCCAGGAAGCCGAGAATATACCTCAGGAGCTCCGGTCAGGAGCAGAGTTTCCAAGTTCACAGAGCGTAGCTACACCTGCAGCTCTGTGAGGGCAAGAGGCCTGGAGGCAGGTGCTACAGAGAAAGCTGCACTCACTCCACCACCACCACTGACCGCTAGGGACAGAGCGCTCTGTGGAAGGCCCGGTCCGCAGGCTCGATCTACCACCACTGCTGACTGCTAGGGGACAGTGTGCTCCATGGCAGGCCACGTTGTCCCACCACCACTACTCACCACTGTCTTGGGAGGGTTGAACTCGATGTTGTAGACACGACCGCTGGCCGGGTGGATCCAGCGAGCAGTGAGGCGCTGCTTAATGACCTCGAAGGGCACGTTCAGGTTAATCACCGTGTCCAGCTGATACATTCTGTCCAGGGCTTCAGCCTGTGGCACGGTCCTTGGAAAGCCTTTTGAAGATACCATTTTAAAAGGGAAGGGGCAGGGGAAGAAAAACAATCGAGTGCGTGTTGAGCAGTGTAGACTCGATCTACCCCAGAGAGTGAGCTGAGGGAGCAGCCTGGACCAGGAGAGCCCAGCAGCCCACGGCAGATCCTGGGGCTGCCTCGGGAAGCACTTCGCTGTGTCCCGTCCCCTGTGCGCGACACCACCCATGGTCAACCCAAGGGCAACAACCAAACAACGGGAAAACGCACCAGGCCGGCCGCCCACAGCTGTGTGGAAGCTGCTGCTGGGGCCATGCCCAGGGCACACCCTCGGTCCCTGCGGGGCGGCTGGGGGGCAGGAGGAGGCCTAGCCATCTGTCACTTCAGCCCCAGGCAATGCTGTCCTGCCTCACTGGACACATCCCCTTGAGTGCAAAAGGGCACCTGACGCAGGCCACGGCATTCCCACTGGCCTCAGCCGCACACGAGTGCTGGACCATGAGTAAGGACGACGGCAGAACAATCGGTACAGCTCCCCGAGGGGGCTGGTGAAGACCATCCCCCAGACCGCAGACCAGGCGCGGGCTGCCGGAAGGACACGTGCATCTGCCCCGGAGCAGTCTAGCCAGAACCCTCCTTCGAAGCAAGGCTGGCAAGACTTCATCTTATGGCCTTTGGACAGGTCGGCAGGAGGGGCCAGTCTCTGGAGAGGGAGCATACAATACAGGGTGGGCAAAGAGATGGGCAGGCACAGTGGCTGCAAACAGCAGGGACAGTGCAGGACCAGACCTCTCACCCCTGCTGCATCATTTCCCCTCCTGCCTCCTCCCCGGCCCTCTCCTTCCATGTCTTCGCACGCCATTCTGAAGAAACCATTCCGGCTGAGGAAGACTCTGGCCTGGGCGTTCATGTGTGTGTGCTGAGGCCCCTAGAGAGAGGACTCTGGGTGGCCCCCGCAGCCTGCCCCGTCTGCCAGGCCGAAGCAGGCGGAGCCCTGGCTTCTCCTGCGGGAACAGGAACTGGGCGTCTCCAGGTGCTCTGATCAGCTGTCATGCTTCCACCCTGGCACAGACCTGGCTCAGAGGCCACAGAGGCACGTTGTGACCGGCTACCTCTAAGGCTCCAGTCTCCCCAGCGTCTCTGTCCCCCACCCTCCCGAGACGGCTCAGCTCCAGGCCTAGGAGGGGGCGCATCTCTCCAGGTCCAGCTCTGTCACTTACAGGCTTCAAACCTAGGGGACGGGGACACCACACAGTCTCTGTGCACTCTGTTCTGGGGATGATGTCCTCCCAGCGGCCTCCCTCAACTCCTCCACTGGGAGTTCACTCAGCTACCTTCCAGCTGACTCTCGTCTTTCAGAACCGTCCTTGAGGGAAGCCAAGGGACTTAGGACCCACTTTTCCTCCCAGCTCACCTCTCTCCTCCTCAGCCTCCTGCCCCTCTGCCCACCAGAAGCTCATGGGGTGTGAGGGGGGGCGTGGATGAGCCAAAGTCGAGTGTGCTGCCCAACCGCCAACTGCTTTTGTCCTGAGGGTCACTATCCACTCAGGTCGGCATCCACTCTGATGGCAGTGGGGTTGGTTTTTTTTTGGGGGGTGGGGATCTAACAGGAACCTTTGTGCACCCAGAACCCAAGGCCTCAAGGGGCTAGAAGCAGCACCCAGGCCCCCTTGGCCAGCTCCTGCCCACCCATGTGATCTCTCCAGCCAGCGGTGTTCAGCACCCTGGGCAGCTAAAAAGGCACCTTGGTGGTGCAGGGGTGAAGCTCTCCACGGCCAATAGGAAGGCCACAGAAGAAAGCCCTAGTGCTCTCCTCCCACACAGGCCCCAGACGAGGACCCCTGACGGGGCCACTCTGAATCCGAACCAGCCGATGGCCTCTCCACTCACCGTCCAGCAGCCAGCTGCCCCGGGCCGCCTGCTTCAGCTCGTGCAGGACCAGCCGGGTCATGACGTCATCGGGGATGAGCTTCCCTTGGTCGATGAAAGTCTTGGCCAGAACGCCTATCTCTGCAGGGGAGGGGCGGCAGGGAGCCGGTCAGCAAGGGCATCTGTTGGACCCCAGCCTGGGAGCTAGGAACTGCTCACCCGATGAGACGTCCGGGGTGCCATAAATGACCAAAATCCACTGCCCCCACGTAGACTCAGAGTGACCCTGCAGTGCAGTGCAGGGAAGAACAGCTCTCTATGGTTCCTGGGCCAGTAAGTCTTTTTTTTAAAAATCATTTTATTAGGGGGGCTTGTAAGTCTTTCCTGAAACAGACTGCTTCGTCCTTCTATTGCGGAGCAACGGGTGGGTCTGAAGCTCCAGCCACTCAGTCATCAGCCCGGCAGTTAACCCACTGCACCACCAGGGCCCCTCCGTGTAGCTGATTTATTTGAAAATGTCTACTGCCAACATTTGTGATGAACACGGAGGCGATAAAATAACCAACATGATTTTGATTACGTGGGCACACGTGCCTGTAAGTAAACAACAACAAAAAACAAACTCACCACCACCGAGTCAATGCTGACTCATAGCGACACAAAAGGGCAGGTGGAACAGCCCCCGTGGGTTTCCGAACCCGAAATGGGTGATCAGAGTACAAAGTCTCATCTTTCTCCTACTGCACATATGGTGGTTTTGAACTGCTGGCTTTGCAGTCAGCACCCCAATGTGCAACCATGATGCCCAGATCTCAGACAAAAAACAAAACAACGGGACAGCTACCGGCCAACAAAAAAGGCTTGGTGGCAGAGTGGGTTGAGCACGCGCTGAGACACTCGGGGAATTCTGCTCGGTCCCTCCCACAGGTCACTCTGGGTCAGGATCGACATGATGGCAATGGGTTTATGGACCCATGTGTTATCAGCAGGTGTTAAAATCTCTGCGTGTCAGAGGCACTTTGCATCTTTTCTTTAGTTTTCAGCAGTTTATGATCTGCAGCTCTAAGCTTTACCTTCCCTGCTCCCCACATGATATGCAAGGGCTCCTAGTCCAGAATGCTCTTGGATTTTGGTACATACACATTGGCTTGGTTCCCAATAATTTGAATTATTTCTAAAGAGAATTCTTCTTTTTAAAAAGCTTATTTTCTTCTCGATGCAAAACAATTAACTTGTTTGGGAGCTTCCACACTTATACCATCACCCCAAAAAAGCTAGCTTCAAAGGCAATGATTTGTGATAAGTTAATTTTCTACAAAGTGATTCACGAATAAACATAGAAGGCAAAGGTTAGGGGAAAAAAACACAATTGGGGAAGTCAGATCCCACTTGGATGGTAATCACTAGAAGTCCTTCTAAGACATGGTCTAAGAGGTGAGTGTTTGCATTGCACAAAAAGCCATTGCTAGTTGTGTCCTTCCCTGAAAGCCTGGAGGGCTCACATGACCTAAACCAGCCAGACCTCGCCCCCAACAGGCTGGGACGCTCCGTCTGAGCGGCTCCCATGCCCAGCACAGAGCTTGAGCCAGTCCGTGACAACGTCTCTCACCTGCTCCTAGTTCCTGCAGACGCTGCTCTCAGAAGCAGGGTAACCAGCCAGGAGGCTGGGCGGTGCAGCGCTGGTTCAAGGCCCTGGCTGCTAACCAGAAGGTCGGTGCTTTACCCCCTAGGAAGGGAGGTCGCAGCTAGCTGGGTAGGAGCGATGTACCCACTGCCATCGAGTCTCCGAACTCACACCACCCCATCTGGGGTTTCCAAGGCAGGACATCTTTAAGAGACCAGACCACTTCATCGTTCTCTGCTGGAGTGGCTGGTGGGTTTGAATCGCCGACTTGGTGGGGAACAGCCCCACACCCAACCCACAGCACCACTGGGGTTCCTCTACGGGTGATGATAAGCTGCTCCACAACTGCCCGTGAAGATCGTTAAATCCACAGAGTTGCACGTTGTCATGGGCGGATTTACGTATTTGTAAGGTATGTCACTTACACACCAATAAAGCTCCTAGGAAACTAAGTGGGGCACTCTCTGCGGAAAGCAGAATTGTTAAGACCGGTGTGGAACAGCAGGCACAGCGGCTCCGTGAGTCACAATCAGCGGGGTGGCAACCAGGAGCCACCACTGTCAATGCCATCCTAGCGGGCGTGACTGCTATGAGGCACCCTGAGGATAAGCACTCTGCCGCTGTCTGGAGGGTCACAGCTGTCCTGTCTGAGAAAGCAAGCTGTGGCGGTCTGCTCCTGTAAAGATGAGCAAGAGCAACGGAAACAAGCTCACTGCTGCCAAGTCACTGCCCAGACTCTCAGCGCCCGACAGGACGGAGCACAACTGCCCGTGGGTTTCCGAGACTGTAACTCTTTATGGGAGTAGAAAGCCCCGTTTCTCTCTCCCCGTAAACTGTACACCCTTGGAAAACATATGGGGCAGCTCTACTGTCCTATAGGGTCACTTGTGTGGGGTACCAGCACCCACCACCGAATGGGTCCAAGGGGAGGTTGTGTAATGAGGGGTAACGGACAGAGGCATCATCAGACAAGACAAAGCATGTGACAGCTCCACGACCCACCATGACTGCAGGGGCCAGGTCTGCGCCGAGAGAAATATATATATACACATATATATATATACATACACACACTCTTGGGGCGTGCAAGCCCCCCTAAGTACAGGGAACCACACAGGCAACAAAGTGGGCTGTACCCTAACCCTGAAGGTCCCTGAGTTCACTGGGGGAGTAACCTAACACCAGTGCCGCTGGGGCGGGGCAGGTCAGGGGGAATGCTTCTCTAGTTCAAGCTTCCTGCTAGATAGCAATCAGCCAGGTGCTTGTAAGAGGTAACTTTAAGGCAGCACTATTATGGGAGGATATAGTGGGGAACAATATTAATGATGAGAATTTGATTGGGATTCAGCTCCAACTCACAAGGATGAAGGCCTCCCTCTTCCCCAGAAGCCCAGCCCGCAGGCTTCTAAGATATGAGAATCCAAGGGCTTGATCTAGAGCAGCGGTTCTCAACCTGTGGGCTGTGACCCCTTTGGGGGTCGAACGACCCTTTCACAGGGGTTGTCCGATTCATAACAGGAGCAAAATTATAGTTATGAAGTAGCAACAAAAATAATTTTATGGTTGGAGGGGTCACCATAACATGAGGCACTGTATTAAAGGGTCGCGACATTAGGAAAGTTGAAAAACACTGATCTAGATGAATGAATAAAGAACTATATTCATGGTGTATTAAAGAAATAAAAAGGGATGAGATTAAAGGATTCATCTGCATATATTTCCTTCCCGTTCTGTTGCCTACAACTATGAACCTGAATCAACTCGACAGTCAGGCGCTTTGGGGGTTTAACTTACAGACAAGAGCCAAAGAGATGGGACCGGGAATAAAGAGGAGCTGATACCAAGGGCTCAAGTAGAAAGAAAATGTTTTGGAAATGATGATGGCAACATATGTACAACTGTGCTTGATACAATGGATGTATGGGTTGTTATAAGAGCTGTAAAAGCCCCCCAATAAAAGATTTATTAAAAAAAAAAAAAAAAGAACCAAAGGATGGGAAAAGACGAGCCACTTCACCTGGGGTCCCTATGAGGATCCCCGTAAACGTTGGTGGGCTGCTATCTGCAACGTCAGTGGTTTGAATCCACAGCCGCTCCTCCAGGAAAGATGAGGCTGTCTGCTCCCATAAAGAGTGCGTGTCGGGTCCCTGTGGGCCGCCATCACCACCTCAGTAGTGCCAAAGCAGGCGTTCTCGGTGGACATGACCTGTGAGGGGCGCTCTGATGCGGCAGTTCAGACTGACATCGACCTGTCCAACAGGAAGGTCTGTGTGCCCTCCAAGCACAGCGTGGACACGCTGCTCGACACCCTCAAGAAAGCAGGGGAAACCTTGTCCTACCTCGGTCCCCAGTAGCAGGGGCCTCGTTTTCTTTTCAAGTATTCTCGTGACCTGCGTTTCTCTGGGTTTAGGGACTATACTTCACCCAGAACGTGGTAAGTGACATTCTTCCAGTTAGGGATTACGCCTTCCTTTTGGCCCTGATCCTGTGTGGGGAAACCCAGCCCACTGACAAATATTTGTTGAGGAGGAGAGCGCATCTGTCATAACATCTCCCCAAGCTGGGGAGACTTGTTTTCCCTGCTGAAGAACTGCTGCAAGGATCCAGAACCCACAGGCACCCCGGGGCCAGCCAAACTTCCACTCCTCCCCCTTCCCTTGTTTGGGAACTGGCTGAAGAAGACAAGGATGGACGGCTCAGAATCAAAAGCCCCAAACCACCCACAGCTTCTGGATTTTTAAAAAAACCGTTATGTCATTGTCTTTTATTTTTGTTCAAATGTTTTGTGTCTTAAAAGTTAACGGACCGTAGGCTTTTCACAGTTTCTCACCCACCCGGCTAAGACTCGCCTCCTTGCAATTTTTTTGCCCCACCCACTCTGGGTAGCCTCATCCCAACCCACGCAGCTGGAAGTTACCAAACTACTTCAACTTGTTGCAACAAGACCGTTAAGCAAGCAAGCCAAAGGACTTAGCCCTCCGACAGCATTTCATGAAAACACTTGACCGTATTTTTCCAGATCAATGCTAGGAGAGAAAGAAGCACAAGGAGTAACTGCCAACGAAGCCGCGCAGATTCATCAGACAGGATGAAGTGGATTTCGATGCTGCCTCGTTGAATGTCAGACTACAGAGAAGGCGAAAACGGGCTGGGACAGAATACAAACAAAGGGGAAAAAATGAGGAGCTGATACCAAGGGCTCAAGTAGAAAGCAAATATTCTGAGAATGATGATGGCAACATGTACAAATGTGCTTGACACAATGGATGGATGGATGGATTGTGATAAGAGTTGTATAAGCCCCCAATAAAATGATTTAAGAAAACAAACAAACCAGCCATCAGGGGAAAAAAAAAGATACAAAACCCAAACCAAGGCCTCCAGTGGATGCTGACCCTGCGTGTGCAGAGAACAGTCTTCAGCGACTGTGACCTTTTGGAATTTGACTGCCGGGCCTTCCTTCTGAGGTACCTACCTCTGGACAAGTTTGAACCATTAACCTTTCAGTTGGCAACAGGGTGGGCAAGCAGCGTGCGACCCAGGGGCTATCTACCGACCTGTATGTGATGGCACCGCGCATGAAATAAAAGCTAAAGACAAGCCACACCCACTGCCATCTACTCGACGCCACTCATAGCGACCCTAACAGGCTGGCAAAAATAGACGTGCTTGAGCAGAAATCAACATTTTAATGAGAAAAAAGCAGAGGATGAAGGAAATATTTCTTTGTGCTCTGCTCCAGTTTCTAAGGCTTTCACCACCTGCAAGCATTGCAGTCTACAATTTTGTTGTTGTTGTTAAAAGTAGCTTCAAAATGGGTTCTGTTGGGGGGAAAGGCATTCCTTTGGAAAGAAAAACGGAACAAAAATTTACTCACTGTGGCTTTTTTAATAAACAGACTTCTGACATAATTTACACGCATAAAGCTCAACGTTGTGAAATGTAGTTTGTTGGCTGAATTTTGTGCTGAGCTATTTAGAATTTATGCGACATGAGAAGAAAAAATCTTCAGATGACCAACTATGCACAAGAATAGCTTCTGTGCCCAAGGAATCTCAGGGTCAGGAAAAAGAAAATAATCAAAGGGGCCCTCATTGCATGGTTATGCGGGGGTAGATGGAGAGGGAGAACGATGTGGCGGTCCTTGTCCACAAAGTTTACAACCTTGGAACCCCCCGGGGGCAGTTGTGCTCTGTCCAGTAGGATCGCTATGAGTAGGGCCACTGCTGGGCAGTGGGTCTGGTTTCTGGTTTTTTTTTGTGGGTTTTTTTTTTAATAAAAATACCAGTGCTAATTCTAGCAGGCATTGAGGACGCCAATGAGGATAATACTTGCTCTTTGGGCTATGGCGGAGGCATTAGAACTAAAGGTCTCCTACTCTTTAAACAAGGATGACAAAATCTGTGAAAATTAGCAGATTCCAGCCGAGCCCTGGTGGCACGGTGGTTCCGCATCGGGCAGCAAACCACTAGGTCAGCAATTCCAAACCACCCGTTCCCAGGAGAAAGGTGAGACTTCCACCCTTGCAGCGAGTTACAGGCCGGCAAGCTCACAGGGGCAGTTCTACCCTGTCCTACTGGGTGGCTATGTGTCAAAATCTACTCGATGGCTCCGAGTTCTTGTTATTTTTTTTTTTTTAGCAAGATTAACGCCAATTTCCCAGTGCAGGGTCACGTGGAGACCAGGCCACAGCCCCAAGGAGTCTCAGCAGCAGCTGCGACCAGGGCTGGGTTTCCTTCCTTTAGCCTTTGAACTTCGAGCCTGTCCTTCACCCCAGCCCCTGCCCCCAATGACCCGTCCAAAGCTGACCCCCGAGGCCCGAGTTTGGGGGCGCAGTCACGCACTCCACAGATGCCGCAGCAGGCGAAGAGGAGCGCGCCCGCACCCCCGGCCCCCGCCCACTACCCCCAGCCGGGGACCCGGCACCCCACCTGTGCCCCGGAGCATGTTGTCCCGGAGCAGGTCCCCGCTGGAGAGGTGCTTCAGCTCGAAGTGCTTGATGATGCGCGAAGACACGGTGCCCTTGCCCGAGCCGGGGGCCCCCATGATCGCGGCGCGGAGCAGCCTGGCCGACGCCCCCATGGCCGCAGAGAAGAAGCCGCCGCGCAGCTGGGTCCGGCTCCGGCCTGCGCGCTCCTCCCGCCCGCCGCGGCGAGAGCACCCAGCCCCGCGCGCCCGGAAGTGAGGCGCGGTCACCCCGCCCGCAGGGCCGCCCCCGCCCCCAAGCTCGCCGGGGCCGGCCACCCAGTCCCGGAGCGCGTCCCCGCCAGGCCCCGCCAGGCCCCGCCCGGTCCGGCACGCGATCGCCCCG